GTGGGGGCGGCGGGGGCCGATCAGCGGAAAGGCTGGCCAAGGATCCACTCCTGCGCCCGGGGCGAGCCTGTCGGTACCGAAAGGGTTTCGGCGCCATCGGCGTTGTTTGGGTTTCTCGCTCCAGGAGGGCGGGAGGCGGGCTCGAAGGGGGGTATGGTCGCCTCAAAAGAAAACGCTCTTTGCAAACAAATAGCCAGGGCTGCGGGCGTGGAGAAGTGTACTGACCAAGACCTGCTGACACAGGTATTCCCGCTGCCCCCACCTCACCCCACTAGTGACTGAGCGCATGTGTGAATGTATCGATTGTTTTAATTGATTTCTTAAAGCCAGGTGGCAGCGGCTGCGTGTGTGTACACAGATATACACACACACAAACACAGACACCCAGGCACACACATGACAGGCACAGAGTCACACACAGACACCCCCCCCCACACACACGAATATCACAGACCCACGAGCACACGTACCTCCAAAGAGCCTCAGGGTACCGGGGAGGTCTCCGAGTGTTGCCCAAGATGGGGTGGGGGCAGGGGCTGAGAAAGGGGAGGTGAAGCAGGCCTCCCATCCTTCCCCTTGGCCCCCACCCCAACTCCTTTGCTTTCTCCTGGGGGGGGTGTCTGAAGGAGAAACCCCAAACCTGGGCTCTTTCCCACTGCCATAAAAGAGCAGCGCCCTAACCTCCTGCCCCCCATCCCTGACAGACTTCGGAAAAGCCCCAGCCTCGCTCTCCTGGCGCCTGACGCCAGGGCGCCAAGCGACTCGAAAACTGACGGATGGGGCACCGGGAAGTTGAGCCTGACCCCCTAAGGCCTTTTCGGTCTCGGGGTCTCATGCCTGCTGGTGCCCGGGTTTAAGAAACAGTGGAGGGGCAGTGGGGGGACAGGGATGGGAGCAGGGACTTGCGCGGAACGGGACGACGGCGCGCCCGAGGAGCGCCCGAGGGCGCCCCCTGGGCACGGCCGTGAGCCTGCCTCTCGCCCTGCGCCCCTTAGGCATGTAATGGAAGATGCTGGCCCTGAGGCTGCTCAACGTGGTCGCCCCCGCCTACTTCCTGTGCATCTGCCTGGTGACCTTCGCGCTCCAGCTCTTTCTCTTCCTGCCCAGCATGCGCCAGGACCCCGCGGCCGCGCGGCTCTTCCCGCCCGCGCTGCTCCACGGGGCGCTCTTCCTGTTCCTCTCCACCAACGCGCTGGGCAACTACGTCCTGGTCATCCAGAACTCCCCCGACGACCTGGACGCCTGCCGGGGGCCCTGGGCCGGGAGGGCTCCGTGCCCCCCGCCCAGCACCCACTTCTGCCGAGTGTGCGCCAGAGTCACCCTGAGGCACGACCACCACTGTTTCTTCACCGGCAACTGCATCGGCAGCAGGAACATGCGCAACTTCGTCCTGTTTTGCCTCTACACCTCCCTTGCCTGCCTCTACTCCATGGTGGCGGGCGTGGCCTACATCTCTGCAGTCCTTTCCATCTCCTTCGCCCACCCCCTGGCCTTCCTCACGCTCCTTCCCACCTCCATCAGCCAGTTCTTCTCTGGTGAGTGGGCCTCGACAGGCAGGCTGGGCCCTACACAAAGACCCCACCCCCAC